GGGAACACTTGTAGTTTATGCCCATTGAGTAAGATATTGGCTGTGGGTTTGTCATACATGTCCTTTATTACATTCCCTCTATTTCCACTCTGCTGAGAATTTTTATCAGAAATGGGTGCTGGATTTTATCAAATGCTTTTTCAGCATCTATTGATATGATCATGTGATTTATATTCTTCATTTTGTTTATGTTATGTATCACATTTATTGATTTGTGGATATTGCACCAACCTTGCATCCCCAGAATAAATCCCACTTGATCATGGTGTATGATCTTTTTAGTGTATTGCTGGATTTGGCTTGATAATATTTTGTTGAGGATTTTAGCATCTATGTTTATCAGGGATATTTGTCTATAATTTTCTCTCTTTTTGGTATCATTATGTGGTTTTGGAACTAGGGTAATTCTGTCCTTATAAAATGAGCTTGAGAGTCTTTTCTCCCTTTGAATATTTTGGAATAGTTTGAGGATAGGAGTTATTTTTTTCTTTGAATGTTCAGTAAAATTCACCTGTAAAGCCATCTGATCCAGGGCTTTTGTTTGTTGGGAGTTGCTTTTTGTTTTTGTTTTGTTTTTTTCTTATTACTGCTTCAATTTCACTTGACATAATCTTGTCTATTCAGATTCTCTGATTCTACCCAATTTAGTTTTGGAAGATTATATGTGTCTAAGAATTTATCCATTTATTCCAGATTGTCCAATTTGTTGGCATATAGTTGTTCATAATATTTTCTTACAATCCTTTGTATTTATTTGGTGTCAGTTGTTACTTCTTTTTATTTCTGATTTTATTTATTTGGGTCCGCTATCTTTTTTGCTTAATGAGTCTAGGTAAGGTTTTGTCAATCTTGTTTATCTTTTCAACAACAACAAAAACAGCTTTTGGTTTCACTGATCTTTTGTATTGCTTTTTAGACTCCATTTGATTTCTTTCTGCTCTGATCTTTATTATTTCCTTCCTTCTACTCACTCTGGGCTTTGTTTTTGTTCTTTTTCAAGTTCCTTTCAGTGTAAAGTTAGATGGCTTATTTGAGCTTTTAATTGTTTTTTGAGATAGGCTTGTATTGCCATGAATTTTTTTCTTAGGTCTTCTTTCCCTATGTCCCTCAGATTTTGGGTTGTTGTGTTCTCATTTTCATTTGTTTCATGGAGATGTTTTATTTCTTCCTTGATCTCATTGTTTAGTAACATGTTATTTAGCCTCCATGTCTATGTGTGTTTTTCAGATTTCTTTTTGTGATTGATTTCAAATGTCATAGCATTATGGTCAGAGAATATACTTGATATTATGTCAATCTTCTTAAATTTATTGAGACTTGTTTTGTGTCCTAACATGTGGTCTATCCTAGAAAACATTTCATGGGCACTTGAAACGAATATATATTCTACAGGTTTGGGATAAAAGGCTAAATATATCAATTCAAACCATTAGATCTAGTGTGCAATTTAAGGCCACCATATCTTTGTTGATTTTCTTTCTGGAAGATCTATCCATTGATGTCAGTGGAGTATCAAAATCCCCTATTGTGACTGCATTACTGTCCATCTCTCCCTTTATATTCTTCAAGATTTGCTGTACATATTTAGGTGCTCCTATGTTGGGTGCATAAATGTTTACATAGGTTATGTCCTCTTGTTAGATTGTTCCCTTTACCATTATGTAGTGTCCCTATTTGTCTCTTACTATAGCCTTGGTTTTAAAGTCTATTTTGTCAGACATAAGTATTGCTATCTCAACTTTTTTTTCTTTTCCATTTTCATGAAATATCTTTTTCTATCCCTTTACTTTTAGTCTGTATATATCTTTCATTCTGAGGTGGGTCTCTTGAAGACAGCATATATATGGGTCTTATTTTCTTATTCATTCATCTACCTTATGCCTTTTGATTGGAACATTTAAGCCATTTACATTTAAATTGATTATTGATAGGAATGTATTTATTGCCATTTATTTTTTTAGGTGTGTTTTCTGGGTTTGTTTGTTCTTTTTATTATTATTCTGCTTCAAGCATGCCCTTGAACATTTCTTGTAATACTGGTTTGGTGGTAACAAACTCCTTTAGCTTTCTCTCATCTAGGAATCCCTTTATTTCTCTTTCAATTTTAAATGATAGTCTTTCTGGTATAGTTGCCTTGGTTGTAGGTCCCTGTTTTCATCACTTTGAATATTTCATGCCATTCCCTGCTGGCCTGAAATGTTTCTGTTGAGAAACCAGCTGAGAGACTTATGGGAGCTCCCTCGTAGGTAACTGACTGCCTTTCTTTTGTGGCTTTTAAGATTCTCTCTTTGTCTTTAACTTTTGCCATTTTAATTATGATGTGCCTTGGTGTGGGTCTCTTTGGGACTATTTTGGGGGGACTCTCTGCACTACCTGAACTTATGTCTTTTTCCCTCACAAGGTTAGGGAAGTATTCAGTTGTTATTTCTTCAAATAGGTTGTCAACCCTTGCTGTCTCGCTTTTCCTTCTGATACACCTAATATTACACTTCATGTTGTCCCAAAGGTCCCTTAAACTATCCTTATTTTTGTAAATTATTTTCTTTTTGCTGTTATGATTGGATGTGTTTTTCTCTCTTATCTTACAAATTGCTGATTCTGTCCTCTGCTTCATCAAGCCTACTGTTTATTCTTTCCAGTGTATTCTTTATTTCAGATATAGCATTCTCATTTCTGACTGATTCTTTTTTATTGTTTCTATGTCCTTTTTCATGTTGTTGAGCATCCTTATAATCATTACTCTGAACTTTATATTTGATCAATTTCTTACCCCCATTTTATTTAGTTCTTCTGGAGAATTCTCGTGTTCTTTTATTTTGGCTTTTTTCTTTGTCTCCCCATTTTGGCTGCCTCTTTGTGTTTGTTTCTATGTATTTGGTAGATCTGCTATGACTCCCAGTCTTGGTAGGGTGGACTTATGTAGTAGGTGACCTGTGGAACCCATTGGCATAGTTCCCCTGATCACATAGGTTTGGTCCTCTAAGAATGTCTCTTGTGTATGTTATGTGGGCCCTCATGTTGTAATTAAGTTTTGATTGTTATTGGCCCATTGTGCATGGGATCAACCCTCAGGCTTCCTGACTGTGAGCCTCAACCCCCAACACAATGTGCAAGCTACTATGCTGGTGCTGATCACACAAAGCAGACTTTGCGTCAGTAGGGTTTGGTACCTGACAATATCTTTCTGTGTACATACTTGTGAAGCTTACTGAATCCTGCTCTGTTGTTTTCTGAAGCTGGCTATTGGGTCTATTGGTTCTGGGCCTCTTCAGAGGGACTTTAGTGCAGGACAATGCCTGGGTGCATATGGAAAGGACAAGCTGTTCACCAAAGTCTGTTATTACTAGCACCCTAGCACCGGGCCATAGGGCGGGTCATCAAAAGTCTCAAAGCACATAGAGACCTGCCTCTGCCTGCAGGCTGTCAGTTAGGATGTCACTAAAAGAAACTTGGGTTGTACTCCTTAGCAGGGCACAAGCTCCACTGGGTGGGGCAAGACAGATTCCAATGGGAGGGGCTGTTGCTTCCCTCCAAGCTGATACTGCATGGAAGAAATGCTTTGCCTGAAAAAGATGGCTTCTGCAGTATGGGGTAATAACTCAGCACAGGGGTGTTGGTGGCTGACCTTCAGCTTTCTCCTCAGAGCCACTAACCGCAGACTCTTCTCATGCAGCCCTAGCCCACTCGGCCCTCCCTCCACTGGAGCCCAGGGAGAGTAGCTGTGAAAAAAATTTTGTGTGTTGGCCCTTTAAGAGGGTGCCTGCATTTCTGTACCTGGTGAACAGAAAACCTGCTGCTTTTCACAGCCAGATGTTATGTAGGTGCCTCTCCTGGTTCTAGTGCTTTGAGCTAGGGAGCTTAGCTTGGGATTTAGACTCCACATATCTCAGGGAGAACCCCCCACGGCTGATATATCCCTCCACAACTTCAGCTGCTGCCCATGAGAGCCCAACCTACCCTCTTGTGCCTCCACACCTCCTACCTGTCTCTATGTGGCCTCCTTTGTAAGTCCTTAGTTATAAGACTTCTCTCCAGATAATCTTCAGTTGGTTATTCAGGATGATTTTTTCTATATTTTGGTTGTAATTTCAGTTTGGTCCTAGGAAGAGGTGAGTGTAACTTCCACCTAATCTGCCACTATCTTAAATCCTCCCTCAGATTATTATCATTTTCTTTTACTATCTTTGTGAGTGTCGCCAATATTTTTCACCTTCTTACACCTGCTCATCCTTCATATCTCAGAATAAACACAATCAGTTCTCTCAGGGAACCCTTCCAAACTACCTGAATCTCCTATACCCCAGACTAGGCTATTGGTTCAACTACATGTTCTCATAGCTTCTCACTCTTAATCATAAAACCCATCATCTTGGTTGTCCTATTGTCTAATTAGTGACCTTCCCTTCAGCGGGGGCTTCCCTGCAAACTAAGACAAGTATATCTTAAGTGTAATTGGATCTTGAAGCCAAGCAGATGTCCTGATACAAAGGAGACACAATATTTGTACAATAAACCAAATTAATTTACTGATTCTTGTCTTTTGTTTAAAAGTGTATATTATTTCTGCCAACATATCTTGGGTCCAAGACTTAAAAGACCTTTTTAAATAAATTATTCTTTCTTTAAAACCCCATTGTCATGGCATGATTGATTTTTTTTCAATACTGTACAATGCTGTAATCCAATGAGTTTGAAGATAAGTATACAACCAGGAACATCACCACCATCAAGGGCATACACCAAGTTTTAATTATAAAAAATAAATAAAATAAGGAGATCTATAGAGCATAGTGCCTATAATTAACAATACTGTATTGTATACTTAAAATTACCTAAAAGGGTAGGTCTTAGCTTAAATGTTCCTACTCAAAAAAAGCAATAATAATATTAATAATATAGAAAGCAGAAGAAACTATGGAAGATAAATGATATGCTTCTTTACTGATTGTTTATCCAAAAAGGCAAATAGGTTCTTTAATCCCTTTCCATCTCTCTTGAAGATGCTGGCTCAACACAAAAAAAGGATTTATATGGACCTTCCTTGGCCCTGTCTGCATCATCTTCTCTGTGAGTAAAGGATCATATCAGAGCATCCTTCCTGCCCAAATAAGGGTCAATCAAAGAGCAAGTGTATAAGGAGGTAGCAATAAAGATGATCAATCATTTCCATTTGCCCAAAACTGAGGGGGCTGTTTTAAAACCATAGCAAAGTGTTTCCTGAGACATCAGACTTTCAATGATAAAATGTAGACATTCCTGTGTAAACTGGAACAACTTGTTCACCCCAGTTACAGGACAAGGATATGCCAGAGTTGCTGGATATTTGGTCACATTTTCTGTGAATTCTATGAAACAAAAAAAGCTTTTTACCTGCTGGTTTAGGTGTTAGACAAGCTAGGAGGAAGGTATACAGATGTGAAATGTATTCAATATGCCTTGTGGTGTTTCCACAGATTAACTTGGCTTTCTTTCTGATGACCTTCTGGCTTCTGAAAAACAAGCTCTCCTCACTCAACAGGGATGTGTCCACCCTCCAGAACACAAGGTATGGACTACCTCATACAAATCATGGTCCAGGAGAAATACCCTGTGGTTCTAAGCTCCTGACATCCTTTCACAGGGATTCTGAGAAGTCAGGAGGAGAGAGTTGCAGCCACCCTCTCTGGAAACCAGCTCAGATATTATGGTTTCCTGCTGAGACCCAAGCAAAAAACATCTTGTTTCTCCATAATTCCAGCAAGAAACTACTTCAACTACAGAGAGAATTAACTTTGTTCTGTTAAACACCAATTTACTTTCATGGTCCTGTGTAAAATGCCCAAATAATGTTTATATCTTTATGAAACACTTAGGAAATCACATAATTGTTCCCAAAACTCAGCATGCACATTGATGCCCACACCTTCATGGATGCTCTTCCCTTTGCCCTCTCCACTCCTACACTTGGTAAAATCAGGTTCTTTATCCACATATCACATCTTTTTATTTATTTTTTATTTTTTTCTCTTTTTTTTTTTATTGATTAACTTTTGTTACAGATGATTCTCCTTTTTTCCCCCACTGATTCCCCCTTCCCTCCCTGCCCCTTCCCCAGATTGTTGTCCATGTCCACTGTTCATGTATCACATCTTTTTAAAGGCTATGGATGTCCTTTGCTTTCCTAAACTTTGCACAGAATCAAAAACATGCTCAGGGTCAGTTCATGGAAAGCAAGATGACAGGAACTGTATTAAATGGGATCTGGATAAGAGTATCTCACATGTCAAAATTATTATGTGACTGTTTGTTTTAGTCTTTAATGAGATTATAAAAACTTTGAAAACAGAAATCTTCTCTTTGTTATTTTTAATACCCAGGACTGAGCACAAAGTCAGGTAAACAGAACTTCTTCAGCAAGGTCCATTGACGAAAATTAGGGACATTAATGAAACAACATGATATTTTTGAAACCCACATTATGAATTATCATTACTTCCATCTAAATCAAAATGACATGCAAGACCATGGTAGCATTTATTTTTTCTTATTAATTTGTTTTTGTTGCAGATGTTTCTCCTTTTTTCCCCATTGACAACCTCTTCCCCATCCTCACTGCCCCATCCCCAGCTTTGTTGTCTATGTCCATTGGTCATGTATACATGCATATAAGTTTATTTCTCCCATCCCTCTCCTCTGAGATTTGTCAGTCTGTACCCCTCCTCTATGACTCAGGGTCAATTTTATTCATCAGTTTGTTTAGTTCATTATATTCCACAAATAAGTGAGATCATGTGATATTTCTCTTTCTCAGCTTAGCTTGATTTATTTAGCATAATACTCTCCAGGTCCTTCCATGTCATCTCAAAGGATAAGAGATCTTTCATTCTTATAGCTGCACAGTATTCCATTGTGTATATGTACCACAGCTTTTTTATCCACTCATCTACTAATGGACACTTGGGCTGTTCCAGGTCTTAGCTATTGTAAATAGTGCTGCTATGAAGATGGGGGTACATATATTCTTTCTGATTGGTGTTTCAGGCTTCTTAGGGTATATTCCTAGAAGTGGGATCACTGGATCAAATAGCAGCTCAATTTTTAATTTTTGAGGTAACACCATAGTGTTTTTCACAGTGGCTGCTCCAGTCTGCATTCCCACCAGCAGTGTACTAGAGTCCCCTTTTCTCCACACCTGTTGGGAACACCTGTTGTTTGATGATTTGTTGATTGCGACCATTCTGACAGATGTGAGGTGATACCTCATAGTTGTTTGAATTTGCATCTCTCTCATGATTAGTGACAATGAGCATTTTTTCATATGTCTCTTGACCATTTGTATGACCTTTTTGGAGAGGTATCTATTTAGGTCCTCTGTTGATTTTTTAATTGGGTTCTTTGTCTTTCTTTTGTTGACTTGTATGAGCACTCTATATATTTTGGAATTTAACCCCTTATCTGATGTTTCATTGGCAATTATGGTCTCCCATATAGAGGAATCCCTTTCCATTTTGATGGTTGTTTCTCTTGCTGTGCAGAAGCTTTTGAGTTTGATGTAGTCCCATGTGTTTATTTTTACCTTTGTTTCTCTTGCCTTAGGTGTGGTATCAATGAAAACTCTGCTGCTTATGATGTCTGAAATTTTGTTGCCTGCATTTTTTTCTAAAATTTTTATGGATTCACGGGTCACATTTAAGTCTTTTATCCATTTTGAGTTTATTCTCATGTAGGGTGTAAGTTGGTGTTCTAGCTTCATATTTTTGCAAGTAGCTGTCCAATTTTTCCAACACAATTTATTGAAGAGACTGTCTTGTCTCCACTGTATGTTCTTGCCACCTTTGTCAAATATTAATTGAGCATATTCTCTTGCGTCAATTTCTGGGTTCTCTATTCTGTTCCATTAATCTATCTGCCTGTTCTTATGCCAGTACCAGGTTGTTTTGATTACAGTGGCTTTGTAGTATAACCTGAAATCTGGTAATGTGATCCCTCCCACTTTGTTCTTCGTTTTCAAGATTGCTGTGGCTATTTACAGTCTTTTTTGGTTCCAAATACACTTTTGGAGTGTTTGATCTAGTTCTGTGAAGTATGTCATTGGTATTTTGATGGGGATTGCATTGAATATATAGATTGCTTTGGGTAGTATGGACATTTTAATGATAGGTCCTTTACTTCTTTGGTTAAGTTTATCCCTAGGTATCTTACTTTCTTTGCAGTGATGGTAAATGGGATTGTCTTTTTAGTTTCTCTTTCTGTGATTTCATTATTGGTGTATAAGAATGCCATCAATTTCTTGACGTTATTTTTGTATCCTGCTACTTTGCCAAATTCATTTATTAAATCTAGTAGAGTTTTTGATGGAGTCTTTAGGGTTTTCTATGTACAATATCATGTCATCTGCAAATAATGTCAGTTTCACTTTCTCCTTTCCAATTTGGATCCCCCCCCCTTTTTTTTTTCATGTCTAATTGCTGTGGCTAAGACTTCCAGTACTATGTTCAATAAGAGTGGTGAAAGTGGGCATCCCTGTCTTGTTCCTATTCTTAAGGGGAATGCTTTTAGTTTTTGCCCTTTGAGTATGACGCTGGCTGTAGGTTTTTAATAGATGGCCTTTTTTATGTAGAGATATGATCTCTCTATTCCCACATTGCTGAGTGTTTTTATCAGAAATAAGTGCTGGATTTTGTCAAATGCTTTTTTTAGCATCTATTGATATGATCATATGGTTTTTATCTTGCATTTTGTTTATGTGGTCTATCACATTTATTGATTTGCAAATATTGTACCATCCTTGCATGCCTGGCATAAATCCCATTTGGTCATAATGAATAATTTTTTTGATGTATTGCTGGATCCAATTTGCAAATTGGCAGCTGTGTTCATCAGGGATATTGCCTGTAGTTTTCTTTCTTTGTAGTGTCTTTATCTGTCTTTGGAATTAGGATTTTGCTGGCCTCATAAAATGAGTTTGGAAGTGTTCCGTCTTCTTGGATTTTTTTTTTTTTTTTTTTTTATCCTCACCCGAGGACATTTTTCCATTTTTTGTTCAGGTAGAGTTGGGGGGGGGGGCGGGGGATAGAGGAACAGAGAGAGAGAGAGAAACATCGATGTGAAAGGGACACATCGAGTGGCTGCCACCCGCACAACCGACCAGGGCTAGGGACAAACTGCAACCGAGGTACATGCCCTTAGCAGGAACCGAACCCAGGTCTCTCAGGATCGCAGGCCGACGCTCTAACCACTGAGCAAAACCGGCCAGGGCCGTCTTCTTGGATTTTTTGGACTAGTATGAGAATGGGTATTATATCTTCTTTGAATGTTTGATAAAACTATCTCGGCCTGGGCTTTTGTTTACTGGGAGTTTCTTAATTACATCTTTAATTTCCTTAGTTGTTATTGGTCTGTTCAAGTTTTCCATCTCTTTCTGGTTTACTTTTGGGAGGCTGCATGTTTCTACAAATTTGTCCATTTCTACTAGATTGTCCAATTTGTTGATGTGTAATTGTTCACAGTATGTTTTGATGATCCTTTGTATTTTTGTTGTGTCAGCTGTTACTTCTCTTTCATTTCTTATTTTGTTAGTTTGATTTCTCTCTTTTTGTTTCTTGGTGAATATGGCTAAAGGTCCATCGATCTTGTTTATCTTTTCAAACAACCAAATTTTAGTTTCACTGATCTTTTTAATTCTTTTTTTAGTCTTTGTCGTTTTTTCTGCTCTGACCTTTACTATTTTCTTTCTTCTACTAGCTCTGAGTTTTGCTTTTTCTTAGCTTTCTAGTTCTTTAAGTGGTAGAATTAGAAAGACAATTAAGAATTTTTCTGTTTCTTGGGGTAGGCCTGTAGTGAGTGCTATGAACTTTCCTCTTAGGACTGCTTTCACTGTGTCCCATATATTCTGTGTTGTTATGTGTTTGTTTTTATTGGTTTCCAGGAATTTTTTAATTTCTTCCTTGATCTTGTTATTAACCCATTCTTTGTTTAATAACATGCTATTTAGCCTCCAAGTGTTTGAATGTTTTTGTGTGTTTTTATTGTATTTGAGTTCTAGTTTCATGCCACTGTGATCTCAGAAGATGCTTGATACTATTTCAATTCTTGAATTTGTACAGATTTGCTTTGTGTCCTAACATATGGTCTATCTTTGAGAATGACCCATGTGCACTTGAGAAGAATGTATATTATGCAGCATTAAGGTGAAATATTCTGTAAATATCAATGAAGTCCAACTGATCTAGTTTGGCATGTAAGGACGCTATGTACTTGTTAATTTTTTGTCTAGATCTATTTAGTAGTGTCAGTGGTGTGTTAAAGTCACCCACTATGATCCTGTTGCTATTGATATCTCCCTTGAAGTCCTCCAAAAGTTTTTTAATATATTTTGGTGCTCCTGTATTTTGTGCGTATATGTTTACCAGGATAATATCCTCTTGTTGGATTGATTCTTTCTTAAATAATTTATTTATTTTTGTTAAAGATGTTTCTCCTTTCCCCCCCACTAATTCTCCTCTCCCCCTCCCTCCCAGCCCTGTCCCCAGCTTTGTTGTCCATGTCCAGTGTTCATGCATACAT